TGGGTTCTTGTCCCTTGAATCTGAAGAACGGAATTTACAACAATGAGAAGATGGGTTCAGGGAGGAGTCTTGTTCTAGATCTGTGATGGGATTAAGAGTAAGAAAACAGAGAGCACCTGTGTAGTCCAAATGGGGCCCTGGAAATGGGATGCCATTGAACCCCAGGCTCTTCCTAGGGTTCTGTACAACCCCGAGTGACGTGTGGGCAGGGGCACGAGCGGCATGATCCAGTTGGTGCATCCAGAAGGTGTAGGTCCCTCCTCTCGGTTTTGGTCACATCCTGGTGTACAGTTTCCAGGGTAGACCAGGAACCAGAGGACCTCTGGCATCTGACCTCCTGCCAAGGCAGAGCTAGAGATAGTTGGGTTTAAACCTTTCTGGCATCTCTGGCTCTTTCTAAGGACAGAACTATGACAGCATCAGGACCAAGGAAAAACTGTTTAATTTGGGGGCCCCCACTCTAATGCTTTCTGGCTAGTTTCTGTCTCCTCGTCAGCAGTATTTGAAATAACAGAGAAGCCACACATTTGAATAGCTTGCCACACGGGCCAACAGGGCGCCTCTTCTTGCATTGCACTTCCTGCAGAGTAGAACCGATGTTTTCCATGTAGCTTCAAAATGTTGCTTCTCTCTGAGACAAATGATGCTGTACTTTTGTTCAGGTTCAGCTGCTCATCAGACTCCTCTGCTTGAGGCCTAACAGACACCTCAAAGTCAGTATGTGCAAAAGACCTCCTTAAAATCCCCCAAGGTGCCCACCTTCTCCTTAAAGCTGATGGGACCTCACCCTCTGATCTGAGGGTGCCCTCCCGGTCTCCAAGCTCAGAGCACTGCATTAAACTGAGCTAACCTTCTCCCTTGTTCCTCGCTTGCAAACTCTGCTGAGTCTGTCAATACAAAAAGCAAAGCTCTCACTGTAAAGGGAGTAGAAGGGGCCACTTGAGTGAGCCTCGCCCAGGAACAGACTTGGGATATCCCAGATCCCATGTTCCAATGTGGATTCCAAGAATTAAGAAAGTCATAAATCAAGGGGAGTTTAAAATACATTGGTGGGTAGATCAGAGAGGTTGTTACGACAAGATGGGGGAGGCTTTTCTATAGGCCTGAGATTCTGTGTGATGGCATTTTAGCTTTGGGGCTAGGGAAGCCAGTGGTCTGCTAAGTTAATAGATCCCAAAAGGTTTTTATGTATTAGTCACAGGATATTAATTCCGACACAGAGGTGGGCAAGGAATGGCTATTTATTCCTAGCTAAAGCTAGCCCAAGATAAGGGTGTTAGCCTCTGGACATTCCAGCTTCTCCACATCAACTTCAAGTTGGGGCGGGGGGGGGGGGGGGGGGGGATGAGCAGGGAGGTGGATTTGAGAGGAGTGAGGATCAAATATGATCAAAATACATAGTAGGCATGTGTGAAACTCTCAAATAATTTGAGAATATATATTAAAATTTAACAACTCTTTTAAGCTTGCATCACTTATATTTATGTGACAAGAGTCCCTCCATAAACGAATGGGGAAATGTATGTATGTAAGTGTTTGTGGACCATTGTGCACAGCTATGACTTGGAGAAGAGTAAGATCTGAGGGTAATAAACTGGGGTGTGTGTGGAACTCAGCAGGGCCTGCTTGCATAGACTCTTCTAGACATCCAGATATGTATGAAATTCCTTCTCTCCAGCATTAGGCAGGACACCTGTCTCATTAAGGTCTTCAAAGGGATGGTAGAGAGAGAAGTAGAGAGTGATCTCCCTGTGTTCGATGGCCTGCCTCAGATCAGAGGGTGAGGGCCAAGTAAAATGGCTTTCCTGCTTCTGCTTTTTCCTCGGATGCCAAGGTGCCATAGTTGGGGGAGGCACGCTCTCATCCACACTGCTACATTGTCCAATCTCCAAATATGACCATGTCCTGAGGTATTTCTCATTGCTGCATCACCACACCAGACAAAAGCCACGTCAGGAAGGAAGGGAGGGATTATTTGGCTCGGTGTGCGGCTAAGATCCAATCATGGCTTCGGAGGTGTGGCAGCAGGAGCAGGAAGCAGAAGGTGATGAATGCTACTACTGATCAGTTCTCTTTCTCCTTTTTATTCAGTCTCAGACTCCAGCCACTGGAAGACTGCTACTCACATTTAGGGTGGGTCTTCCCATCTCAATGAACCCAATCTAGAAAATCCCTCAGGAGCTGCCCTTAGGTCTGTTTCCATGGTGATTGTCAGCCCCATCAAGCTGACCTTCCTAAATGATGTCCTGAGTACCAAGGGGATATCATTTCAGTAAACACATGTTAGGAGATGCAGTTGAACCCATAGCACCGTGCTTTGGGTCAACCCTAAATGCCGTGCACTTCTGAAACCATCCCTGGCCTTTTCCACATTTCTCTACCCCAAGATTGAACATAATCTCTATCGCTCCCTGCACACCTGTGACCTCATAACACCTCCATGTTTCATAACAGAAAACACTGAAATCAGCATTTAGAAGCAGCTGCTTTTGCTGAACAACATTGTCTTGGACATGCAAGGTAACTGAGACAGGATCAAAGCCCAGCATGACATCTCTGCCGGTGTTTTATGTCTGTGCTTTGGCCGAAGGTACAGAGATAAATTGTGGTCCTTAATCTTTCCTCTTAAGTCACCTTGAATTCCAGGAAATCCTCCCAAAACAGACTGCCTTTCCCTCTAGATGAGGACAATTACCCAAGAAAATAAGGCTGCATCCTCAGCAATTAGCGGTGCAAAGATTTATTGGGCTACAGTTGGGGTAGCAACATATTGGACCACCTTGCGGCAGAGAGTGGAGCTGAGACAACGTTGGGTCCATATGGGCGGGACCATGCCTTGACCAGGACTCCTTGGTTATGAACTATGCATACCGCTTCCCCGTGTTTCAGCCTAAATTTCATCTCAGTACCCAGAAGACGTGGGGGTCATTGGATTGCTTCATTTGGTTCTTTTCCCAATGTGTCCATATTGCTTTTTGCCCTCATTCATCTCTTCAACTGGCGTATTGAGATGAGTGGCTAAGTCTGCCTTGTTTTAGTGGTGCCAGAACCTGGACTCCGTTCCTAAAATCTCTAGGAACAACCTTGGCATTGGCACCTGGCTCAGACATTTGTGATGTTTAAGCTGTTTTCTGCAGGGAATGGGGAACTTCCCCAGGAGGTCTCTAATATTCACTGCCCGTGTCTGGTCTCTCTTGAAGGGCAGAGGACCAGTAGTATCATTTCTTCAACATGAATTCTCCTTGGCCCTCCTTGAACGTGCTGTGTGTGCATGGCCATCCTCTGCCATGACTCTTGTCCTAAGAGATAGCGCTCCGTTCTGAAGACAGCCTTGCAGACTCCTTGATCTCTGACTGCTGAAGGCAGCACCTCCCATTGCTCCCACAAAAGGACTGGGCTTGTTCCAGCCACCCCCATCCCTGTTGACACCCTCCCCAACCACAACAGTTAATCTGATGTTTTAGATGCAGCGCCCGATTTCTTTTCACAGCCGGCTCAGCTACTTTGCGGTTATGATTAGGAGATAGTGCCCCGTGTACAAGAAGTAGGTCGGGTCACACCGTTTAATAAAGCTATCATGGCCAATGTGAGCGTGACACACAAAAGGGAACAGGAGAGCACAGCTGTACTCTTTGTGGCACAAAACCAGGCGGTGTGCACTTGGTAGGGACCTTTTTGATGTCACAGGGTGAGGGATTAAGTCATAATTATGTAGATCTAAATTGCCTTCCAGCGAGCCCACTGGCGGTTCTTCATTATCATCACAGCAGGTCTAATTCTAGTGCACACTGATCATCCTTCAGCTGCCTGACGCCCAGCCTATGGAATACGGTCAGAATTAAGCAGGGACCTGAGCCATAAAGAGCATCAGGTGCTGTCTTTCCACGTTTGCCTCAGCCGTGTGTTGATGAATGTGTGTGAGCCCGCCTCCTTTCTCGCAGTGGCTGGTCCCATACCTTTGATTCCAGTTCTCAACTGATTCAGTTCTCACTGAGAATCCAGTAGTTAGTGAAATGTTGGAGAAAACTGATCAGTTGCGTCTTCTAGGTGGTGCAATGTGACCTCAGATTTCATTTCTTAGAAACATTTGTGACTGAGATGGTCAGTTGGTATCACCACAAATCTAGACCTCACATAACTCTTCAAATGCCCATAACGTCTTAGTGGATCTCCCCAGGAAGGCTGAGGCAAGGTGCAGGGAGGGGTTTATGGATCAAAAATGCTGATCTGGAGCTAAGGTATTTCTATTCCATACAGGTGTGGAGGAGGATGCCCAGTTGATGGGTAAGAAACCTTGGGATTTAGTTGACTCTTGTTTGGGGTGACTCAGCTGTTAGTCTCAGTTGGGAGAGTCGATGAGTCAAAAGCGCTGTGCTTCCTCATCTTCCAGAGGAGTGAGTCCAGAGACTGCTTAACTCACAGCTTAACTTTAGGGCACCCATCACAAGGCAGCCCCTATGAACGACATTGAGACTAGCAGCTATCCAAGGAGGCCCTGACCACCTCACATCCACCTTCTAGGATCACCTGCCCGCTGCAAAGGAATCCTCAGCTGATTTTACCCTGTGTTTAGCTTCTAACAGAAGCACTGAGGTGATCAACTTGGGGGTGGGAAGTATAGTCTAAGCCAGCAGGTCACTAACCAAAGTTAGCCAGGTCGCTTATAACGAGTGCACTCCCAGACTCTGCTGTGACCCACAGATGCTCACTCCTGGTGGCAAGGGACCGCAGTGTCTTTCTCCCTTGTGACTTCGTGAGACTAACTTCCCATTTGCTGCAACTCTCCTACTTTTCTGTTGTCTTTGATTGCTGTTTACATGGATTTTAATTTATTAATTTTGAGACTGGCTTTCCTGTGTCACTCAGGCTAGCCTCCAACGTCTATGGAATCAATCGGTCCTCTTGCCTCAACCTCTTGAGTGATGGGATTATAGGCACATACCACTGCACCTGGTTTACTTTTAGTTTTTTAATCCTTATGTATCTATTTCATAATCCAGACCACTTTACAGTCTTTCTGGAAAACAGATGGTGGGGGCAGTATCAAACTGTGAGTGACTTTGAACTCAGAGGACATCTCTAGAAAAGTTCCTCCAGGTACCAGAGAACCACATTCATCGCCTCCAGTCAGTTGCCATTCGTCTTGAAATCTCCAGGTGACCAGCATCAGAGTGCTTTAAAATGGTAAGTATTCCATGGTGAGCCGCTCAGACGGAGTGAAATTCTTCCTTGCATTAAAACACAATTAGCAGTGTGGTAATGTTTTCCTATTTAATTCTGTCCTTTGATTGTCTAGAGGATTTTTCCTCTTAGCTTGTATTAGTGATGATTTCTGCATAACAAATCATTCCAAGCTCTAGCTGATTCAGGACCAACAAACATGACTTCCATGAGATCCACAGCTTCTGAGGGTCAGTCAGGAGCCGAGTGTAGACGGAGTGGGGGGGCTCTCGCTGAGCGGTTCTTCTGATGTTCTCTGGCTTGGCTGGAGCTGGAGGACCTGCTCACAGGGTGACCCACTTAACTGGCCGTGGGAAGGAGGCTTCATTCAGTTATTGGCTGGTTTCTGGCAGGAGGCCAGTCGCTTTTCATATGGCCTTCTCCATAGGTTTACTTGAGTGTCTTATGCATGGTGCCAGCTTCCCCAAGGAGGGTGAACTAGAAGGCAGCAGGCTGTGATGGCTGTGATGGCCAACTCTGGTCCTAGTCTGTCATCTCTGTCACATTCCAGGAGAATGGAGCTGTGGGCTGCAAGCTTGAGAGGGGAAGGGCATTTAAACTCCATTTTAAAATTTCATCTTTCATACAAGTTCTATCTTGTTATTGATATTCTCTATTTGAGGAAACGTCAGTTTTGTGCTTTTGTTTAACTCTGTAGACATGGTTTCCTTTATTCCTTGAACATATTTACATCAGTTGATTACATCTAAACATTTTCATTTTATTACTATTATTGTGTGTGTATATATATATGATAGGTGTGTAAGTGAGGGATTACACGTGTAACTTTTGGGAGTCCATTCTCTCCTTCCACGTGGATTTCTAGGATCGAACTCAGGTTATCAGGCCTGTACAGCAAGGGCTCTTACCCCCTGAGCCATTTCCCCACCTCACTCTCCACACTTTAAGAGCATGTGTAGTGTAATGTGATGGATTTTAGTGTACACAGATTGGACAATATTACCGTGAGCTACCTCCAGAATATTTTACTGCCCTAAAAAGAAGTCCATGCCCAGACATTGAAAAATTGGATATGAAAATGTTGCACCCAGAATGCCACCATCTTTTGATGTTATTGCTGTTTGTCAAGTAACCTTTCCAGATCAATTCTGTAAGTTACGTACCCCTTGTCCTGACTGAAGCCTCTGCTCAGCTGACCAAGGGAAGGTTGACTTCCTCAGATTACTGAAAAGTCAAGTCTTGTGTCTTTTCCAAAGGCTTGCATATTGGGCTACACTTGGAATGCCCCAGAACTTTATAACTTTCCGTGTGTTTTCCAGATGAGCCAGAGGTGAGGCGTCACAGTTGGGTCTCTCCACAGCGCACTCAATTCTGTACATGCGCATGGACTTCTAGATCACCAGACATCCGTTGGAGCTTTTCAAAACTCCCTGTGAACATTTCCTTCCCAAGCTCTTCTTTTTAATGTCTGGTCGAGCTCATGTTTGTCCCAATAGCTATCACGGTCTCAGACAGCTACACTGTCAAAACATTTCTATCGATTGTTCTTGACCCCCAAAGTTGAATGAGGTCAAATAACATCTTATGAAAGGGGCCTTTCCAGGGAGCTATGACAGGTCACCACAGGGACAATTCTACGGATGTGCATTTTGAGGGGCTTTCAACACACATCACCTCTCCAGTGAGTATAAAGCAAAACAAGTCAAAATACACACATTTTGTTCTCTCTCTCTCTCTCTCTCTCTCTCTCTCTCTCTCTCTCTCTCTCTCGGGAGTTCATCTATGGGTGTACATGTGAAGGCCAGAGGTCAAAGCCAAGTGTCTTCTTCTATTATTCTCCTTCTTGTAAAAAAAAACTTTTATTTTTATGTGTGTATGTATGTATGAGTATGGACAAATTTATTGTCATCCTTCTCTGGAGAGGTGAGATGTTTCACTACCCTATTATTTTTTGACCTTTAGAGTATATCCAAAGTGATGCTGTGCTAATTTTAGGGCTAGTCTTTATAAGGTTTTTATAAGGACTTTCATTTTGGTTTTGGTTTCTTGAGAGTCCTGAGCTATTATGTAAGAAGTTCAGTTCCTCCCTGGAATATGCTGGAGAGATCATTTGGAGATGCTATGGGATCACACACACACACACACACACACACACACACACACACACACACACACACGAGAGAGAGAGAGAGAGAGAGAGAGAGAGAGAGAGAGAGAGAGAGAGTGTGTCATGGGGGAAGAGCCTTATCTAGAGTTACCTTGAGATTGGTACCCACCAAGGTGTCAGGTTTGTGAGAAAAACCATCCTGGGTACTCTAGATTGGCCCAGATACCAACTCAGTAACATTAAAGGACTCCAGTGGGTGTTACATGGGGTAGAAGGATCATCTAGCTCCATCTCGTTAAATTTCTGATCATCAGAATCATGGGATATAATAACTGTTTTAATATACAATGTCTTGAGTTACCCAGAGATACTGACTGGAACAGGGAGCCAGTGCCCTTCGGCGAGAATGAGCCCTAGTCATGAGCAAGGGCTCAGAGTCAAACACTTTTCTCTGCATCACAAAATGGTCCTACTAGAACCTAGTTGGGTGTGCAAGCTGATCATACCCAAGTAGGAAACTCCCTTGTCCTCTTTGGGGACAGCAAATCTTGTATGTATGATGACCATCAAGTCAATAACTAGAAGGGGAATTGCTGGGTCATGATGGGTAATAGTCTAAGCTTCTTACATGCACACTACCAAATCTTTTCTAGAAAGGTCCTAGCAAGTCCAACCTCCCCCCACCCATGCCCCCGCCACAGTCTACAAGGGTGCCTGTTTCCTGCTCACTCCGTGATGCAGGCTATCAAGTGTGGCAGTCATTGTGATTTTATGGATTATGTAATCTCTCTGCATGACCTCCCTCAGACCGCTCATCTTTATGTCCACTGTGCCGGGCATAGTGTCTGGACAAAATTCACAAGGCAATATCATTTGAAAGAATAAAGCCCATGGAGACTGGCTAAGTCTCTTCCTCCATCCCAAAGCACTCGCCAACCTCCCTGCATCTTTTGCTAGCTGCTCAGGAGGTGCCTTGGATTTGTTCTCCGCCCACCTCTCACCTCCCACACTGTTTCTCTCCCTTCTGTGTGGCTTCCTGTCTCATGGACGACACTCCACCCAGTTACTCTACCTAGAAATGTGACATGGTGGTTTGAATGAGAATGTCCCCCACAGGCTCATGGATTTGAACACTTGGACTCTAGGTGGTGGTGGTATTAGGGGAGGTTATGGAACTTTTAGGATATGGTGCCTTGTTGGGAGGAAATACATCACTGGGGTGGACTTTTGAGGGTTTACAGGCTCACCTCACTTATAACTGGCTCTCTCTGCTTTCTGTGTGTGGTGGGAAATGTGATCTCTCATGCTTCATGCCATGCTCTCCCTGCCATTATGGACTCTTCTTCCTCTGGAACCATAAACTCTCCCCCTGGAGGTCTCTTTTGGTCATGGTATTTTATCACAGCAAGAGAAAAACAGACTAACACACCTGGACAGCCTCCTTTGCCCCTCCACCACACCCTTCTACTCACTGTCTTCTGTTCAACCAGTGACTGCATCCTGTCTGTTCAATTCCCTGCAACTAGGAGTCATTCTCAACATAGTTATTGGCCATCCACCGTGTGCCAGTGATTGATCTAGATCTGAGGATACAAAGAAGAAAGGAGAAGTCCCTATCCCACAGTTCAGTTACAGAGCCTGTCAGATGGCAATAAAGTTGTGAGGAAAAAGTAAGAAGTCTAAGATATAGGAAGGACTGCTGTTTAAATATTTGGCCAAAGAAGGACCCATTAGAGGGTGAAATCTAAGTAAAGCCCAAAGATGGTGAAGGAGCGATCATGTTTTGCTGTGGAACAATCTTTGTACATTGTAAATATGTATTACTCTCATTGGTTAATAAAGAGCTGACTGGCCTGTAACTGGGCAGAAAGAGATTGGGTGAGAGAGCCAGACTAGGAGAATTCTGGGAAGAAGAGCAGAATCAGAGGAGTCACCAGGAGACACAGAGGGAGCAAGACATGCTGGAGGACAGGTAAAGCCATGAACCATGTGGCAGCACATAGATTAATAGAAATGGGTTAATTTAAGTTGTAGGAGCTAGCTAGTAATAAGCCTGAACTATCAGTCAAGCATTTATAGTTAATATTAAGTATCCGTGTTGGTTATTTGGGAACTGGTGGGTGGGAAAGAAAAATCCATTTACAATGTTTTAAGATATTTCCTAAATGTGTCCACTTCTCTTCACTTCCATGCCATGGCCTCAGTCTTAACACTACAATCTCTCGAGTCTTCTTGATAGCCAGTTTCATTTTGTGTTCTCCTTCCCCGTGTCATATTTCTACATCAAAATCTCATGCCCTGCTCTTGCTTACAATCACTTAGTTGTTGCCACACATTCCCCAGAGTCTAGAATTCAAATTCATTAAATATTATCACTTACAAGCCCTTGCGTCTGTCTCCAACTTTATATCTTCCAAGTATCCAAGCATCCCAGCATAGAACTTAACTAAAAAAAAAGAAAACAAAAAACCCCAAACACTCTTGAGTCTGTTTTTTTTTTTTTTTCATTCCACAAAGAAAATAAGGGGCTGCTGTTGTTTATCTATTGATTGTCTTTTTTATTTGAGTTTGAGACGTACCTTAGAGAATCTCATCCCCTTTAAAAGAGCCATTCATTCAGAAAGGACAGGTTTGTGACAGGCTGAAGCGCTCTAATCAGGAAGCTAAGAGCTAATCATGCAGATGAACGACGTTTGTATCTTACCGCAGTCAGGAATCGCCATGCATTATTAATTAGCTGAAGACTGGTGTCATGGCCTGGCTATTAATAGTACAAGCAAGATGGATGCCAAGGCTTGTCGTGATGAGTGCAAAGCTCAGCACCTTGGAAAGGAACCTGTTTGCGTAGCAGCAGGAGTGGTTATTCTTTTCTTTTCCTTTGTTTCTTTCTTTCTTTCTTTGTTTCTTTCTTTCATCTTTTTTTAGGGGGCAGGAGAGGAATTTGCACCCAAGTTATCCGAACTAGTTTATAAGATCTTTTGATCAGACTTCCAGATTTGACGGTGTTTGTGTGTGTGTGTGTGTGTGTGTGTGTGTGTGTGTGAGAGAGAGAGAGAGATAGAGAGAGAGAGAGAGAGAGAGAGAGAGAGAGAGAGAGAGAGAGAGAGAGAGAGAGAGATCAGTGGGTTGGAGGAGCATCAGGTCACAGAGACAAAGCAGAGCCCCCTGTTTCTGGAGGACCCTGTCCTCATCCTTGTGAGGACTAGCTGGAACTACCTCCTAGATCCTATTTTGCAAATCTGAGCAGTGGTTTCCATGGGCACAGTGCAAACGAGCGTCCATAACCAGGAAGGTAACAATTAGTAGACACCCCACTTTGGGGACTAGAGGAACTATAGGGTGGGATACTAATGAGGAGCCCATCAGCCCAGGCTGGCTGCTCCCCAAGAAAAGGCTAGACTCCAGAGTGTCTTCCAGAACTCTCTCTACTGGAGTGGGCATAGACAGTTTCTCCAGAATTGACATCTAAATTAGAACAGTACCAAAGGGTTGACAAGATAAATGGATTGTAAGTGAGAATGAAGTGTGTTTAAGATATGCAGTTGCCGGGTAAGATTTTATGAGCTTTGCTTTTTTTTTTTTTTTAGGAATGAAGTTAAAACTAAATGAATTCACTGGAAGGGATGCAGCTGTACCCCAGGACCCTGATCTCGCAGTCTAGTCCTGATCTGGCTAGGAGGTGGGTCTGATCCTGCCGACAGGATATCTTTTTGTTTGCTTTGGAGTAAATGTTCCAATAACATGATGATCAGAGAGTGGGGACAGTCTGGAGACTTCCCAAGCTTCCATCGAGTTGAAAGGTGACCTGTGTCCTTGCTTGCTGACGTGTTGTCGGTGGATTGCTCACTTTGTAGCTTACGACCTGCTGGCAAAATTGTGGAGAGGAGACATCGCTCCCAGCTCTTCTCACGGCAGAAGCTAGCGATGCTTAGCCAGCTGAGGATGCTGCAATGCTGTAGAACAGTCCTTCCCCGAGGCTTGGGCTGTGGAGTCAATCAGATGCTTACTTCCCTTCTGAACCCTGAGTGGGGTCAGAGAAAGCGAGTGACCACCTTGGGTGTCTGCTGGACAGAGTCTGTCTTCATCCAGAAACCACAGAAGTGAGAAATATAGAAGAACATACCGACGGTTAATACAAGTGCAGTCCCCGACGATGTCTACCGTGGCTGCGCAGATATAAAATCTGCTGTAAGGCCTGCCTCCTGGAGATTTCTCCTTACAGATGGCCAGGTTAGCAGCCCTTTGGCTTATGTCTTCTCATTTAAAGGTGGTGGGTTTTAGATCTTGTTTAAATCACAGTAACATTTGCTTCCATTGGGACATCGAAGAAAGGAAGTCGCAGGGTAGAAAACCAGAAGAAGGAGTTTTCTACCAGCACTTCCATGGTTAGGAATGAGATCTGGGTTTCTGGAGGATAAAAATCTCAATTCTGAAGAATGGTATTATTGCATGGTGAATAATGGAGACACCAAGAGTGGCTGGCGCTGCCGGAGTAGAATGTAGGAGTAGAGATGTATGGCCTCTTGTCGGGGCCTTCAGGCTTTCACGGCAATTACTTATTATAGATAGAAGGTTTTTAAAATTATGTACTGGACTTTTATAGAAGATTTCCCATGAATAATTCAAAATACTGACCCCAGACCTATGTACATGGGCTTACAAACACTAACTGAGCTAAAAATAAAACAAGGAAGCAGAGGAAGAAAAGGCCTGTGAACTGAGGCGATCCAGGGTCAGTGTTTGTGATGTTAATTGACTGGGCTAAGGGAAGTCTGGGTAGCCGATAAACATTGTTTCTGGGTCCATCTGAAGATTAGCCCCAACCAATTCCCTGAACAGAGAAGATCTACCCTCACCAGGTTGGGAGGGCACCGCCCACTCTGTTGAGAGCTCTGAGGGAATAAAAAGGGCCAACAAGGGTAAATTCCCTCTAAGCTGAGCTGTCCGTCTTCCTGCCTCTGTGCAATGGGCTCCTGGTTTTCTGTACTCCAGGCCTACCTCAGAGCATGGCGCCCTTGCCTGGGAGATGCCCACTGATTCCCTTAGTTCACAGGTATTCACCTTTGAGCCAGTTCCTACAAGAAAATCCCAATCTCTTTCTCTCTCTCTCTCATTTTTTTTAATGCAGTTTTTTACTTCAGTGTGGGCTGACCTGGAACTTGCTCTGTAGCCCAGGCTGGACTTGACTTTCTGATGATCCACGTGTCTCAGTCTCCCGAGTGCTGGGATCAAGCATGAGCCACTACGCCTAGTTTTCTTCCTCGTTTTTTTTTCAACTATTGCCTTTCTGCTTCCCACCATGTGGCCACAGGGCGAGATGACCTTTGCCAGATGCTAGCCCCTTGTTTTTGAACTTCTCAGCTGCCCAAACTGTGAGAAACACATTCTTGGTCCCTATAATTTACCTGGCTTCTGGGATTCTGTTATCGCGGCACAGGACAAACCGAGTCAGGGACTCTCCCTCTTGAGTTTTTACAAGTTGGTCCTGCTGAGCCCCTTGTACTTAGGAGTGGTCCTTCTGCTTCACCTTCACGTCTCTATGGTAAACTGTGGGGCTGTCAAAGCGCATCCTTCTTCTCAAGTATCTCTCTCAGCTGATGCCCTACCCACACCCACACCCACATCCTTTTCAATACTGTGGTCTAGTCGTACCTCCATTAAGTTGTGTTGGGCTAACAGTCCCCTGCAGCTGTGGCTCCTTTTGCTGGGTTCCTCAAGGGTTTAGCCTGGTCCACAGTGACCTTGCTTTGGGATGCTGGCTACAGTATTCTTTAGCTGATCCATGGTGTTGTTCTTTCTATGAGATGGATAGGGCCTTGCCTTCTAGTTTCCTTCTTTTAACCTAAGCATAAGACAGGTGCAGGGTCCCCAAATACAGCATCCCTGGGGTGTGAGGCCAAGAGCCCTAGATGCTAGTCCTGGCTTAGTCACTGAGTAGACATCTCCACACTCTTCTCTTGGACTTTGGCATTTTGCTGCTCTGAGAAGTTCAACGGTTGGGACAAAAGCTTTCTAAGTCCGTCCAGTGTTTTCTGCCTACGGCAGGGTAATGTACTGGATAGCTGGGTCAGAAATGTCCCTCAAAGTCCCTTCCATTAGAGGTCTGGTCTTCAGCTTGGCACTGTTGGAAGGCAGCTGAACTTTGAGGAGGCAGGCATTTATGCTAGAAGTTAGCATATTGGTGCTTTGCTCTTGAAGGGCAGAGAGGGTATCGTGGAGGATACCCTGGTGTCTTGTGCTCTCTACCTCAGTCTATCCCTGTCTGTCTGTCTGTCTGTCTGTGCTTCCTGGCTGTCATGAAGTGAATAGGATTCCATAACAATAAAAATGATAGGCTACTAAGACATGAAAGCCAGTCTCTGTGGGATCATTCTCTCTCCTCCCGTATTTATTTTATTTTTGATATTATAATTTAATTACAATATTTCCCCCTTCCCTTCCTTCCCTCCAAACACTCCCATATGCCTTGCCCCACTCTCCCTGAAATTTAGGGCCTCTATTTTCACTAATTATTACTGCATATATATATATATATATATATATATATATATATATATATATATATATATGTGTGTGTGTGTGTGTGTGTGTGTGTGTGTGTGTTATATGTTGGTAGATATATATAATGCTACCTCTATGTATGTTTTCAGGGCTGACTGTTTAGCACTGGACAGCCAGTTGGTGTGCTCTTCGCGGGGGAAGGCTACCTCCCTAGGGAACATCTTTTTCTGAAAATACCTATTGCCTTCAGAGACTGAACTTTTGCTAGACCTTGCAAAGCAGCAAGTTAACAATACACCCTGAGATCATTTAAAACTATGTACTCTGTCTGCTGTCCTACTGTGCACTCAGCCAGTTTATGTTTAACCTGCTTTAAGAGAGCAATGGCACCCACCATACTCTGCTTTGTACTTCTCATGTAATCAACTCTTACAACCTACATGCATAGCTGTTGTGCAATGTTTTAACTGGGTAAAGATGTGTTACATGTGTTTATGCTGCGGAATATTACTTTAATTGTGTAAGGGTGTGTTACATTTGTTTGTGCTGTATTTGTTTAACCATGTAATGATGTGCGTTTAACTATGTAAAGATGTGTTGCATCTGTTCCCCCTTGCCTGCCTAAGGCACCTGATTGGCCTAATAAAGAGCTGAATGGCCTATAACTAGGCAGAGAAAGGATAGGCAGGGCTGGCAGACAGAATAATTATGAGGAAAAATCTAGGCTCGAAAGAGGAATGAAAGAAGAAGAGAAGAGAGAATGAGGGAGACACCTGGGGCCAGAAGCCAGGCAGCCTCCAGCAAGCAGACATGAGAAGCAGTGAAGTAAGATATTACAAAAGAAGGTAAAAGACCTCAAGGCAAATGGTAGATAAAGAGAAACGGGTTAATTTAAGTTCAAAGAGCTAGCCAGAAATGAACCTAAGTTAGGCCGAGCACTCATAACTAATAAGTCTTTGTGTCATGATTTGGGAGCTGGTTGGTGGCCCAAAAAGAGAGATCCTGGTACATATAGCTTCAATCTTAAATTGTGTATTCTGCCATGCCCCTTAGTATAGTGTGTGTGTGTGTGTGTGTGTGTGTGTGTGTGTGTGTGTGTATGTGCTCGCATGTGCGTGTGCTGTGGTACTCATTTGCTGAGAGTATCTAACAGGTTGAAAGTAAACTGAAACAAAACAAGCATATACCATAAATATTGGAAGCAGCATGTGGATACAGGTAGATAGTACATGATTGCCATTTTGGCTCATTCTGTGTTAATAAAGTCATTTTTCCTCTTATAAAACTCTATGAAAAGTCTTTATAGAAAAGAACTTATTTCTTTACACTAATGTATTTCTGTGCTATTCAATAAACATACAGCAAAGCCCTTTGTTAGGGACAGACATCAGACACACATAGCAGACAGATGGCACAGGGAGAGAAGTGAAGAATTCAAATGTGGGCTCGATCTTTGTCCACATCAAGAGGAAGACTTTTTTTAAATATCTCAATGTGATACTGACACATATCTCTCTTAGCTGTAATTAAAATGAAAGCCACGTCTCCTTCTCCTGACACCTTCTGAAGGTTTTTTGGGGGGATTGCTCTTGAAGTCCAGGTGCTCCTCATGTCCAGAGCCCATTAACAAGCTGCTTTTCTCAGAGCAGAAAAGGGGAGGGGCGAGTATATCTTTCCTTCTTAGACAGGGTACCAGCTACAATCCAAAGTATCATCTCCCAAAGTCTGAGTTGTGGAAACAGTTTATTGGGCTTACAGAGCATGCATGAGGGGTTCCTAAAAGGAGTGTGGGTGACCCCCAAGCAGCTGCACCATTGAACAGTCTCACCCCAGCATGAATGATGACTTCCCCACAGCTGCATAGATGACGCCTCCCCCTTCATTCATACCCTATGTACTCTACCTTCTCCAAAGACCACGAGGCCATGAGAAAAGGCGGCAGAATTGAACACAGTGCACAGCTGGTGCCTTCCAGCCCCTTCCTTCTGAGGGAACCTCAGCACTCAACAGCCTCCCCTACAAGAGTCTCTTGCAGTGGTCACAGCTGCTCTGATGGAGATGTGCCTGCTAGCCCTGCAGCTAGAATGCTACAACCACTTTACAGAGACAGGAAAGAACAAACCCCACACTTCTCTGCCCACCCTTTTCTTCAAAGGTCCTCGTGTGTATAAAACTTGAATACATCTGTATGTTTTCACGTACCTTTTGACACAGATGCCACAGCCAAGGAGCCTTCATGGGTAGAGAGAAAAGGTGGTTTTTCTCCCTTGTACAGGCTAAAGTGACATTCTGAGCCCTGATTCTAGAACCATGGCCTCCATTGCCTTTGGATGGAGTGTGAATCACTTTCAACAGCCATTTCAGTCCTTTGGAGGTTTATGTTTCTCAGATTTTTTTTTTTTAATTTTTGTAGATGTACTGGCCCCATGTTATTCATAGACAGTTAGGCCCAGAGAGAGGCAGAGATGGGGAAATGACTTCTCAAATTAAGCCCAGTAGTGCCTCCCTCTGGGGGCCATAGGAAGGACAGAGGAGCTAGAAGAGCCAGGTTGCCAGAGACTGTCACTGGAGCTCCGAGTTGGTGAGCTGCCACATTAGACAGAAGTATTGGCTCAGCACAGAGGAGGCGAGAGGGGCCCCCAACTTGAACCTTGGTGCCAAGCAGAGCAAGTCCACGAACTTGCTGGGTCTCAGACACAGTCCTTGATCCAAGTCCCTGTGTCCTCAGTGAAGGGGGAATGACAGTGTTTCTCCTAGGGTTATTGTGCAGATTCAGTGAAATAGTGTGGTAGAGCATTTAACACATATTGGACACATTACGTGTTCATGAAATGGTGTCTCCCATAATGCACTAGCAATCAACCACAAAATAAAAACAACAGAAGCCAGCTAGTAATGGTTTCCTGATCTCTCACAGTAAGTAAATCCCCGTGAAAAAAACTTGCTTTTTCGATGTGGAGTCGAATTCCTCCTGGAACATCTCTGCAGAGTCAGCAGGAGTCCAAGGCCACCGTTCTAGCAGGGATCACAGATAATGAGAACTCCGCTTACCTACAAGTGCCCAGCCTCATCTTTTTTTTTTTTTCTCCAGTTTATACACATGCAAGCTGTATATACATTTACACATTCGTATGTGGTTTTTACAGGTCACTGAATCCTTGGGATCCCAGGGACTCCCGCTCCAGGTGTGTGAACACCCTGGCAGTATTTTCCATCACAGATGTGTCTTTGGCTAGGCACGTCCCAGTAACCCCAGGTCACATGCATTTCTTCCCGCTCACACCTCATTCTGTTCACAGAAGTCCTTTCTGCTGTTTGCATCTTGGTTCAATTTCAGAGAGATTTCCAGCTCAGCTCCAGCCACTCTCCCATCTCATTACACTCTTGGTAATTAGCTCCATCTCATTACCCCAGCCCGGTTGGAATACGATTACTTGTTTCCAGGTGTAAACCTGTGCGGTGCATACACCTCTTCAAAATTCCAGGCAGGCCACCTGCCGCAGCCAAGGCAGGACAACTACTTCCAGCCGCATACCGTTCATTAGCGCTTCCATGTCAGGGAAAGCACTCCGTTGTATTCCACATCTGGTCACATGCTTATTAATTATGCACTTCTTATAACAACTGTGTCTAATTAGGACAGAGTTGAGACCTCTGCGGAGCCTAGTGATTCTTTGTTTTCCCATTCTTGGTACCTCATTACCCTCCCTCCAAATTATGCCCAATTTGTTTTACATCCATGCCACATTAAGACAATTGCTCTCAGGTGTGTATTACAACACACGCTCTGCTTTTCAACCCAAACTTTCTTGACCAGAACACTCCTTGTTCCCATATCCTGTTGAAGGCTAGCCATTTTTTGGTCTCTGCTCACATTTACCCCTGGATGGAATGAATCCAGCTCAGACTTGCTGAACCCTGGGGCTGGACTCTGGCCTGCTTTATTCCTTGTCTATTTCTGTGCGTGGGTCCTGGGGGGGGGGGGCAGCCACTGCCATGTCTCAGAGCAAGAATCCCAACTGTAAGGGCCCTGGTCCATTCACAGAGCCCGTGAGGCAGGAACCCATTTGTTCCAGCAGGAGCTGGTGAGGCGTGAGCTGCCAAGCTGTGCTGGTGAGAGAAGAGGCACACTGAAAGGGACAGTTCTGAGCTTCCAAAACTTCACACAACTGAGCCAAGCAGCAGGGAGGTGGGCTGAAGATTTCAGTCCTCAACCCTATGCAATGGCTTCCTGAATGAAAGGCTAGTGTTAGAGTATTGAGTGGGAAGTGTGGACAGTAGCAAAAGCAAGATCACCGTGAGTGTTTTAAGAAGCCAGTGGTCTTCTTAAACTTCTATAAACTCAGGGTCTGCGGTATTGACCCAGAGCCCTCCTGAAGCTATCCTGTGTCTCTGTCTTTTTCTTCATTTACGTCTATATTTCATAGCTATCATTTCCCAATTCCACCCCCCGCCCCCCTTCAGAACCGTTCAACAGGTTGAGCGGGACTCGACACCCTCCCATCTTATCCCTGTACCCTCCTGTTCGTATTCGTTGTTCCGTGGGACAGTTTTGTTTCTACCATATATACATATACGATTTTATATAGCGATTTAAGATCTAGAAACCACATGTACAAACTCTCAACAACACGGCTGCCTGCAAAGACAGCACCAACAGCAGCTGACACGACCAGTTTTGTCTGAAACTGGCTACTCTGCTTACAATCCCCTTCAGCTGCGTTCATTTTCCTGCAGATGACAACTTTGTTCTCTGTAGTGAGAAGACATCCCATCGTGCATCTATAGCATAGTTCCTCCCATTCCTCCATGGTTGGGAACCTGGCCTGGCTTCACACTTAGCTGCTGTGAACAGCACAGCTGTAGACACTGCTGTGCAAGTATCCCTGTGACATGTGGATCTGAGTCCTTCAGGCAAGTACCCAGGAGTACTACAGCTGGGTCATGTGGTAGATCTATTTCACTTTTTTGAATGTCTAAAATTTTTAATTCTTTCATAAATGAGCACACTGTATTTATGTCATCTCCACCCTCCCCTTCTAACTCCCCCCATGTTCCTCTCCTTCTTGAATCCCTAACTCCTTCTTCTCTAATTCTTGTTATATGTACATCCTAATGAGTCTGTTTAGTTGTTTGTATGTACATGCCTTTAGGGCTGACCACTTGTGATTGAAAAACCTACAAGGGGGCATGCCCCTGGAGAAGTCTGATGATTCTCCTTCTCTTAGAAGGCCTTGTGAATTTTCCCTCATCCATGTTGGCACGTCAACTGCTGTTGTCATTATGTAGGTCTTGCATAGGCAGCCATAGTTTGACAGTTCACGATGCAGCATCTTATGTCTAGACGATACCCTCTCACAGCAGCCACCCTGGTCCTCTAATTCTCCCACTTTTCCTGCCTCCTCTTCCGTGATGTTTCCCGAGCCTTGGGTGTAAGGGTTGTGCTGTAGCTAACCCAACTGGGGCTGGACACCTCACAGTCACATTATCTGCATTTTGACGAGTTGTGAATCTATTTAGCAGCCTGTCCACTTTAAATAAGGTTCATTGATGAGGCGTGAGAACTGCACCTGAGGAAGCGTGTGAACGCGGCTTCTGGGTGTGAGGATCTACAGGGCAAGGGGCCAGGGACAGACTCACCAAACTATTTGTACTATTTTGAGGAGCCTTCACAGTGATCTCATAGTGGCCAGACAGTCTACCTTCCTCCCAGCAGTATATAAGGATCTCCTTCAGGCCCCGTCCTCAGCAGCATTTGTTATTTAAGGAATATTCCTGTTCCATGTTTGCTTGAGTCTGTAGAAGAGAAGCCAATGGCTAGCTTTGTGGACTAGCCACAGGTCCATCTCATTTGTCCCACATTTAAGGGAAAACGGTGAGCTTTGCGCTCATGCCCTCCTGCTGAGGCTTATCAGTATTTTTCTCCTTTACTCACAACAGCACTTCTTAGGGAGCAGCAGTCATGGTAGAACGTTAACTCTTGAGGCTATGTGTGTCTGGGCTCTCTGTACTAACTCTAGTACTTTCTTGTAATGACTGTGAATAACACAGAATCCTTCTCACAAAACATCCCTGAAGTAGGGCCATACCATGTAGAAACCTTCAGTGTGTCCCCAGTGGTGACAGGTTCTGAGGTGGCTATGCTGTCCATCTGTATCCACTCAACCAGCTACTGAATGTGTCATTGGTTTTGACTGTTTGTAGAATAGATACCAAAGACTTGTGTTGAATGCCTTGGACAAAGGGCCCTATGACCTTTTTCTGTGTAGAACTGGCATTTCTGGTCTGCCACTATTGTAGCAAAGCAGGGATCCACTCTCGCACACGCTCTCTACAGCAGCTCCCGTGCCAGGATACTGCTTGCTGGCTCTCACTGATGCCACTGTCACGCTCAACCGAGTTCTTGTCCCCTTCCACACTCAGGGAACCCACCCCAAGCCCTCAGAACAGGCAGGGAGGAACGAAGAAGGCAAAGATCTAAGTGAAGTGGCCACAGTCACTACAGAGTCGTGTCCCAACAAAAGTAGAACTCCAACAGCTCTCTGCCCCTCTGGTCACCTTACCTCTTGGGTAGACGTACAAGAACCTTGTGTGAGGCATTGCGCTTTTCCATGATTGTCTCCTGTGTGCATTCCACTTCTTTCCTGTCAGGATTCTAAACCACACAGTTGTGTAGTCCTCTCTTCTTCCTCTCAGAAGGTACTGGAAGGCCATCCTGCGGCTGCCTGCTGGCTTCTCACCCCACTGCTGACCTGGTTTCCAGCTCAGTTCTGAGTATGAACTTGTTGGGTTTCAAGTCCAATCCCTAAATGCTACATAAAAATGGTGTCCTCTGTCTCTGGCCTGTGGTAGTTTGAAAGAAAATGACCCCCAAAAGGAGTGGCACTATTAGGGAGTGTGGCCTAGTTGGAGGAAGTGTGCTGTGGATATCGCTCTGTATAAATAAAATGCTGATTGGCCAGTAGCCAGGCAGGAAGTATAGGTGGGACAAGCAGAGAAGGGAATTCTGGGAAGTGAAAGGCTGAGGCAGAGAGATGCTGCCAACCACCGCCATGAGAAGATGTTAAGATACTGGTAAGCCATGAGCCACATGGCAACTTATAGATTAATAGAAATGGGTTAATTTAAGATATAAGAAGAGTTAGCAAGAAGCCTGCCACGGCCATACAGTTTATAAGTAATATAAGTCTCTGTGTGTCTACTTGGCTGGGTTTGAGCAGCTTCGGGACTGGTGGGTGAGAGAGATTTGTCCTGACCGTGGGCCAGGCAGGACTGGAGAATCTCCAGCTACAGAAGTGTGTCACTGTGGAGGTGACCTTTGAGGTCTCATATATGCTCAAGCCACACCCAGTGTCTCAATTTACTTTCTGTTGCCTGTGCAAGATATACAACTCCCAGCTACCCCTCCAGCACCATGTCTGTCTGCATGCTACCATGTCCCACCATGATGATGATGGACTGAACCTCAGAAACTGTAAGTCACCCGATTAAATGTCCTTTATAAGAGTCGTCTTGGTCATGTATCTCTTCACAGCAACAGAAACCCTAAGACATGGCCCAAGTATAGCAGTGCTGGCCACACGCTAGGCTCCCAGGAAATGTTTGTTGAATGAAGACAATCAGAAAAACAACATACAACATTTAAGCTTCTCAAAACAGTTTTTAATTTTTGGTTATTCCCATCCAGATCAAAGTTGTTACAAACAGGTGTGAAAATTCCCTCCCTTGGGGTCCAAGAATGACCTTGAATGGCCCCAGTCCTTCTGGCTCTTCTTCCCATGCGTGTTCAAGGTGCTTCTTTGTCAGTGCACTGGTGTCTCCTGTGACCTATGAACCTCGAGCAGCAAGAGGACGTGGGGGCCTGGGCAAGACCCATACCGCCACGAGCATCGTAGGCACCCGTCTCGGGAAAGGGCAACTGGAAAAGAGGCTGAGCGGCCAGGCCTGGGGGTGCATGCCTTTAATCCCAGACACAGGGAAACTGTCCCATCCTCCTTGCTTTCAGCTGAGTGGACCTGAGCTGTACTGCTTAATATTCAATATTTTTATTGCTTTATTCCTCTCTGAATTTTTCAGTAGATTCGATGTTTACCATAATATTGATGCTTTACTTTCTCATTGTCAAATTATTTTAAAACTATTTTTATTTTTGTGTGTCTGTGTCCCTGTGTTGTGTGTCTGTGTTGGTTTTGGTCAGTTTATCACAGCAACAGCAACCAACTAGGACAGGACTTGTCTGTGAATTTAAATTCCATTAATTGAGGTGGGCAGGCCCACTCTAACTGTGGGGGAATCATTCCATGGGCCGAGGTCCTGGGCTGCATAAAAAGGAGAAAGCTACCCAAACCTGGGCATCCACTGCTGTTTTCTGACTGCAGAGGCAGTGTGAGCAGCTGCCTCAACCTCTGGCTGTCATGGCTTCCTGGCTATGATGGGCTTACTCTTAACTGTTAGCCAAAAAACCCTTCCTTTCCTAAGTCACTCCTGTCACAGCAACAGGACAAGTGACTAACACAGTGTGCACGGGAACATGAGGATGCCCCTCAAAACTGACCCTCAGTGAAGTGTGAGATGGGAAGTTCTGCAGCCGTGGGAGGGTGAATCACCTTTCATCCTTCTTTTGTAGCACTGGTTTTATGACTTGACTTTTTTCTTCATGTGTATGAGTGGTTTTGCCTGCATGTATGTCTGTGCACCACATACATGAGGTACCTGTCAAGCCATGAGAGGACTTCTGGTGAGGGGAACTGAAGTTACAGATGACTGAGCCTCCATGTGTGGGTGCGGAGAATTGAACTCCAGTCCTCTGGAAGGACAGCCAGTGCTCGTAACTGCTAAGCCACGCTCCAGCTCTGACTCTTGGTTTTAATACAGAAGGAATAAACAAAAAGGTTATAAAACCGAACGGCAACCTGTGTACAAGCTATAGCGCACCCCCCCACACCCCCTCTCCCCCACCCCCGCAGCCAGGGATGAAAGCTGCTTTCCCCCAGCCTTGAGATCTGTTTTTGGTAGGGAGGCCAGCTGAGAAGCCTCTTACTTGATTTTGGCAATGGAGACAAAGTAATGTGTACACACTTACTTCACTGAACTACAAAGGCCCTGCTTATGCTATGGACCTTATTAAGTAGCTTCAGGGTGGTCCTAAAACAGGTAGTAGCCAACTTTCCTTCACTCCTTGACATGCCCCCCTTCCTGTCCCACCCTCATCCCTTGGGAATAGACAGCACTAAAGTAGTCATTAGGCAAAACATTCTGCACTGCAAACTTCCTTAGAGTTCATAGAAAAGCAAAAGTGAGGAGAAAAAAATCCACCTTCTATCCACTAAGCATCAGTGTAGACAAAATCAAGTCAGCTCAGGCCATGCCGAGTAGCTAGAGCCTGTGGCTGCACACACAATGAATGCTACCCACACCCACTGCAGTGCACACCATCAGACGGTGGTTATTTTCTTGTCCTTGGTGGCTTGCTTGATGGCAGCCTGCTCACAGATGATCTCTTTGAGCCTCTGCAGCCTGGTGTTCTGGATGGTCTGGTCCCCCACGCCGGTCTGGCTGCGGTGCAGCAGGGTCAGGGCATGAATGTACTCCAGCTCTGTGTACTTCACGCCCTGGTCCACCACCAGGTTCAGGAGCTCATCGGCTGTGTTGTACAGCATCTCGTAGTACTGCCTGGGGAGGCAAGACAGAACCTTGTTGAGTGTTTCCTCCATCAGTATGGTGGCCGGGGGCATGCATATGCTGTTAATTGTATGCTAATATGTTTACTTATTTCACAAACAGCTACGGATTACCTGGAAGGCAAGTTCTGTCCCACTCAACCTCGTAGTCACTCACTCACTCACTCATTATCTTATTATTTGGAGTCACTCATAAGCTTATTATTGGAGACTCTGGGAAAGAAATATAACTTTCTTCTCCTTTAAATGGGATAATAATGTTGCCTACTTCTTCGGGTTATTGGAAGAATTAGTTAATTCATATAACGCACTTAGAATGTGGTGTTTCATCAAGATGAACTCTTACAACAGCAATGGTAATAGGAACACAATAACAGTAACAGTAGCATGAGGGCAGCTTTGAGTGCCCAGCCTGTTAGTAAAGGGACAGAAAAGCTTCCAAAGTGTGGGTCACCTCTTTCCTTCCTTCCATGAAAGCTTTACCAAGGTTGAGGGGCTAGAAGCACGCAGAGTGCGCTAAAGAGATGTGGGCAGAACAGACAGACATCCTACATGTCAGGACTGCTGGCTCAGGAACGTGCATTCCTGCACACAGGGCCTGGAGTTTGCCGCTTCTCCACCAAGAATATCTTGGGGAAAGAAAAACCAAAAAACCAAACACCAAACCAAACTAAAAAACCCCAAACTTCACATTTTTTGGAGGAAGGAAGCCATCCTTGGGTATAGGAATGTATTTCAAGAGCTTTACAATTGCTGTTTCACTGGGGGTGTGGTCAGGAAGAGTTCTGGTGTCTCCACTAGCTTTTCTTTTCAACTCATAGTCTATTAGAGCAGGAGAAAGATGCCCTTGAAGTACTAAGAAGGGGAGGGATGAACCTGCTTGTTTCAGATGGGCAACTTCATGAGTGTCCTGGGAGCACAGGTTGGCTGTCATGTAGAGACTCCCTGAACATTAGTGTTCTGTTGTGGTTTCAAATGAGGACTTATTTCAGCCTCATGAGACCTGCTATGGCATGACTGTGAAATGTTCCCACAGGTTCATGTATCGGAACACTTTATCCCCAGACGCTGGCATTTTGGTAGGCTGTGAAAGTCTGACTGCAAGAGCCAGCTGGCAGATGCAGGACACTAGCGGCGGGCCTATGAGGGCTGCAGACTGGCTCGGCGGCTTCCCAACACTCTCTGCTTCATGACCATGGAGATGCGAAGAGGCGGCAGCTGTAAGCTCTCACTGCCCAGACTGAACAGCCATGCCTTCCCACTAGGAGAGACTGCGTCCCTTTCACCTGTGAGTCCAAATACACCTGTGGTGGTATTGTGTTCCCCAAAATATTGTGTTCCCCAAAATATTGTGTACCTTAATAAACTTATCTGGGGTCAGAGAACAGAAAAGCCACAAGATACTTAGGCTAGAAAATGTTAGCACACGCCTTTAATCCTAGCATTCCAGAGACAGAAATCCCTCTGGATCCCTGTGAGTTCAAGGCCGCATTGGAAACAGCCAGGCATGGTGACTCACGCCTTTAATCCCAGAAAGCAGCCTTTAATCCCAGGGAGTGGTGGTAGAAAGCAGAAAGGTTTATAAGGCGTGAGGACCAGAAACTAGAAGCATTTGGCCTGGTTAAGCATTTGGCTGGTTAAGCATTCAGGCTTCTAGCAGCAGTTCAGCTGAGAGCCATTGGGATGAGGACACAGAAGCTTCCAGTCTGAGGAAACAGGACCAGCTGAGGAATTGGCAAGGTGAGATAGCTGTGGCTTGTTCTGTCTCTCTGATCATCCAGTGTTCACCCCAATAACTGGCTTCAGGTTTGATTTTATTAATAAGAACTTTTAAGACTCATGCTATATACACCCTTCCTGTTTTAGGGTGCTTCTGTCCAGTATTCGGTCACCACCAGAAAAGCAATGAACACACAATGGGCATTTAGAAAGCACGGGCCAAGCTTATCCTTGGATGTGCACAGAAGTACCTCAGATGGAAGAGGAGGAGAAAGTTACTTGGAGGAGTCTGGGAAAATGGTATCATCAATAATCAAGAAACCCTTTGAGGTTGCATGTTTGGCATAAAGTCAATGAGCTTTATATTATACTCCTCAATGTATCTGCTATAATTAAAAATACTTTACTGAAAAAATTATGCTGTAGGAAGATACTTCATACTATCCTACAGCAACATACGCTCAGTGGCACACAGTAGCTTCCTCCCTGACACTTTCCTTATTTTATGAATTAAGAATCTATGCTATATAGTTCTGTTTCTCTTAGATGCATAGCTGTGAGAAGAAGCTGTCTGTTTAGGAAACAGACATCCATTTTAAATATTGCTCAAGAAGAAGACATGTACAAGTTTAGACTTATCAAATGGAGTAAGGCCTTTGTGAAATCTGGACTTTCTAGCCTATATGTTCCCAAACTTCAGAGTGCTTCACTGGGATCCCCCCCCCCCCCCCTTCCAGGGTCATGAGAATGGAGTACAGGAGCCTCACACCCTGGCACCGGAACTGTCAAAGGTTCCAAGCCACTCCACCTCCAGGATCCCCAGGACCGAGAAGCAGGGGCTGTTACAGAGGCAGTAAATGGTTTATAATACTTTTCACTGAGATTAAGCCAAAAGAATTGGAGTTCTTTGCATTATGATATTGATATTTTCATCATTTATCTTAAAAAGCAACACCGAGCCCATCAGCCCAGATGAAATTGGATTTCTTTTGAAAAGTCTGATGAATTGTTTCCAGGGAGACTGGTTTTCCGCAGAGACTGCCATTCCACCCTGGGAGCAAACAAGACAAAGGCGCCCAGATCTCTAGCCCTGGACCTTCCAGTGTGATGAGTGGCGAAGGGCACACCACTAAAGTACTTAATGTTTCAATCTCCTCTGTGCATTGACGACCTTTATGAGCCCCAGAATGACACTGCGAAGGCAAGGGAGAGACTAAAGGAGTTCTCAGGAGCCTCAGATGAACAGGGCACCAGGATTGCAAAGCTGAGTTATTAAATAAAATTGACAGCTAACTGATGGCATATTTTCTATAGTTAGGGGGAAATTCCCTATAACCATGATGATATATTAGATCATAAAGAAACATAAATATTTAACGACAGAATGAAATCCATTTATCTTTCAGAAAGCCACCTTACCCAGTAGCGAAGACTAATAAATGGGCAGAACAGCTGACAGAGAGGTGGGAAGGTGCTACAAGATGCCCTAAAGAGGAAGTGGGAACATGCCCCACAACTACACAATTAAAATGAGCTTCCATGATAAACATTGACAGATTGAAATGAAATCATGTAACCCAACAGTAATAAATAATTGATGGGTACGTACTGAGACTTCAGGAAAATAAAAGCATGGTTTTTTATCATCAAGCATTAAAACAGCAGCCATGGCTTCCAGGGTACCCCAGCTTACAGCAGATGGCATTGTATGTGGCTGCCTGGGTTGCATTAGTGAACACACATGTTCTGTAGATGTTTTCCAGCTCAGGACTCATAGAGGGAGTCTCTTTATAAGACCCTTAACATTTAGAGGCCAGCTGCTAGCTGTGGACTGAATAGCCTATTCTGAGGACCAAAGGAGTTTGGCATCATCCTGGTGACTGGAACATTCTGTGACCAAGCGTGTTCCTTCCCATGGTTCCTCTTGCTCTTTGCTGTGTGCCTTTTGGTAGCACTTCCCAAAGTATCATGAGTAGACATGGTGTATTAATGGCTTTTCTGATGGTGTGATAAGATATCATGACCCAGATTGACACGTGGAGGAAGACTTTATTTTGGCATATGGTTCTGTTGTGAAGCCACACTACATTTTTCGTGCATGCAGTCAGGCATGTGTGTATGTACAAACTGCTTGAACCTTTTGCTTTTAGCATTAGAACTCTTCTGACTTCCTTTAAAAGCCCTTTATACATTTACACACAGGATCAGGAAGAATTTTGTCCACACCTGTCCACCCCTCCTCTGACAAGCTCAGTTCATGTCTCCATTGTGACCTGAGGCTACTACAAATGGTTATGGGTTTCCTGTAGGAAACTGGGGGAAGAATGCCACCCCCCACCCCCCAAAGCCATCTCTTCCACCACAGCAACTATCCTGTGCCTACAGTCTTTCACAGCAGGTGTGTGTGCAGGTGACAGACAGCAAGACCCTGCTGGGGGCTGGCCTAAATCCCTGGGTATACTTTTACTGTCTGCCTTCTTTCACTTGGTGGAATTCAGAGTACAAGATTCATTTCTAAATGGCTTTTAAATAGTTACCCTGGGCATCTGGGGGCATTAGTGCCAGTACCCCCAGGCCAAATTCTCTCTATAAAATAACATAGTATTTGCATAAAACTTGCACAGTCCTCCTGTACATTTTAATTTTTTGAGACAGGGTCTCACTATGTAGCCCTAGCTGGCCTCAAATTCACGGAGTTCCTCCTGCCTCTGCTTCTCAAGAGCTGGGATTAAAGGTGTGTGCCACCATGCCCGGCTCTTCCATACATTTAAAATCTTGTCTGGATTACATACTCAGCACAATTCGAACACACTGCAGACAGTTGTTATACTACAGGTTTGAGAATAATGTTAACAAAGTCTGCACATATTGTTTTCCTGGATACTTGGGTCTTTGGTTGGCTAAAACCACAGAAGGCAGAATCTGTGGATAAGAACCTGCACATAAAGATGGGTAAATGCACACAGCTATGGGTTCCTGCTGTGCTCTGGAGCTGTATTTATTGTAGTAATATTAGCAATGTTTAATTTGTACATGCATCTGTGTATCCAACCTTCTGAAATGGGCATCACAATTCACACTGTACACAGAAGCAACTCAGCTGCAGAACATGAGTGCTTTGTCTCAGATCTCAAACTAAAGGATTTTAAGACCTACACGTCCCCCAGAGCCAAGGTAATATACAGAGCTGAAACTGTAGAAAGCAAAGGTACTAGCTGCAAAGAGTGTCTGTATAGCTAATTACACTGAGCTACACTTTCGGATAACTGAAGAAAATGATCAGACTGACTGACTCCAGCTATGTCTGCCGGTGAAGTGGAGTGAGCCTGCACTGCGGCAGTTCACACTTTGTTTAGACAAACCTCACGGTTACACCTGACTAGCTAGCTCTCTGTGGATATGGAATTCAGGGCTCCAAACTTAAACTTCAGCATTTAACTTAGGACTTTTTCATTTTATTACCTACTTTATTTTTCCCTGTTTTTCTGTCCAAGGAGGTAATGGATGAGGTAAGCATTCTCTTTAAAAGTTGGTTGCCTTTCTGATTTATTACTTCCCTTAGGATAATCACGTGTTTTCAGTGTGGTGCTTTAGAAAGGGGAATTCTCATACATTGTTGGCAGAGATGGAAATTAGTACAGCCATTATGGAAGACAGTAGATAGGGAGAGTTTTTAAAACACACAGAACTCTGTATGACCCAGCAGGCCACTCTGGGCTCTATATCCAAAGGGAACAAAGTCACTACATCAAAGAGATACCTGCACTTTCTTCTTTGTTGCAGCAGTATGCACAAGAGGCACGATACAGAATTGCTTACAGTGTCTGCTCCTGAATGTGTGAATAAGGAAAGGGCGGTGTATATGCCTAACAGGCTGTTACATAAAGAAAGAAGGAGATGCTGACCTGAAAAGCTGACCCGAATCTAACAGTATTGACCGTAGCTCTCTGAATTATCTTTAGGTGGGGATAGTGAGAGGGCTCAGTAGGTAAAACGGTGCTTGCTGCCAACCCTGGTGACCAGAGTTGAATTCCTGGGGCCCACATGGTGGGAAGGAAGAACTGGCGTCTACTAGCTGTCCTTTGATCTCTACATGTACACTGTGGCTAAGTGTGTGCACGTTGGGTATTGCTTTTCTAAAACGTTTAGAATCGGAACTGTGTTGCCTCAGGTGATTTCAGACTGGGAACTATATGCACATACATAGTGAGGTATCTTCGCGATGGGACTTGAGCTTAGATTCACATGTTTCCTACACATCTGTTATGGTGTGGCTTACAGCGCGAGGCTCTCTCGGAAGGCTCCTCTGTAAGAAGGCAGCACTGGGATGGTGGGCTCTTTAAGAGCCAGGGTCTAGTGGCAGGTTCTTGGGTCCCCGGTGGTCCTGCCTTGTGAAGGGACTGCTGGTTTGGGAACACAGTCCTTACAAAAACCAGGGCCTGACCTCCAAGTCATTCTTGTTTTTCTGTATCTCGTTGTGATCTCGTTTCTACAGGGACTGCTACCATTGCCATCTGCTGTGAGTGATGGGTCTGAGGGAGTCCTTACCAAAGATGATACAGGCACTGTATTTGAACTTGTAAAATGAAGCTCTTGTCCTCATTAGCAACTTGCCTCAAGTATTTCATTAGAGTAATGAAAAGCTGGCTCTTTGCAGAAGGCAATTTTGTGCAATATTTTAGTGAGAATGCATTTTGACTGCAACCCCTTGTACAAGGTTAGAGGTGGAGTTTTCCACTTGTGGCATCTGGTTAGTACCCATAAGATTTTGGAATTTAGAAAATTTTAGGTTTCAGATTTCAGATTAGAGATGTTTAACCTGCAACAGGAGTATTTCAAGCACTTTCATAAAGGCACCGTAGTAAAGGGTAACTAAACAATCAGTTGAAACACTGAATTCTTGTTTTCTCAGCCTCCTTAATATTAACTATAATAATAAACACAGAAATGGGAAGAAAGAAGAGAAAGGAACTGATTCATCCATAGACCAGATAATCATCCCATAAATAACTGACAAGGGGCCTCCTACAGTGGGGATACTCACTCAGCAACCAGGCTGAGGTTCTAGTTGTCTTGCAAGCCATCTTAACTGGCCATGTGCCTTTGGACAAATGCTGTCATCTGCTCCCCGTGTGAAAATCTGAGAGGCAATGGCAGGTGCTCTGTAAGCACGGGTGGCATTTTGGGTTTTACACTGGTACAAAGTTCCCTGCTTGGTCCTTTCATATCACGGAGCTGCCATCAGCACCACTGATGCTAACTGTTGCCAAGCAATGGTAGGCATCACATTAGCAGTTGATCTGCAAACACTCCAACAAGTATAATCTTAGCCCAGGTACTTTCCAGACCACTAATAAAGCAGATGATAATCCTGTGTATCAGAAGAATATATTAGTGTATTCAAATACAATATAATTGTTCTTATTTGTCTTCTCCTTCAAAGAGCTTAGAGTTTATTACAGACATGATTGAAATTTTTAATTTGAAATGCAGCGAAGTTATTTCCATTTCAGGAATGAAAAAAAGTAGAGAAAAGCTAAATAAGTTTCAGGCAGTTAATGGCAGGTTTAAACGAGTATTTTATGTTGAGATGGTCTTTAATACTTTCAACAGATTACCCTGCTTTTTGTTTAGGGCATGCTGCTGTAGAATAGATTTTAGAAAAGACTTTGCCCATATTCCCTCAGCT